CTCTCTCTCTCTCTCTCTGTGGGTACGAATATAAAACCTCGATCATTTATGTTCTTTACGCAGACTTCAAGTTAATGTTCCACCACAAAAACTGGGACTTGTTACTCCAGAAACTGCAGCGAGACTCCACAGGCTTCACTCCTGGTGTCCCAAACAGACTAAAGTATCATCCGGATGAGTGTATTTAGTTTGTGTGTAACTCACTGAGTGTGTGTAACTCACTGAGTGTGGAGCAGCAGTGAGGTGGTAGTCAGCAGCAGCAGCAGGCTCTCTGCTTGTACAATAGTGCCGTTGTTGAGCCGCAGACGGAGGGTCAAACTGTGCTGGATGTGTTGGCCGAGCTGCCTCTTTTCTTCGGATGGCTGAAGCAGAGCGCATCACTAATTTCCTTTAATTCACCGAGCAACAAGCACTGCCTCCTCCGTGTGTGTGTAGGTGTGTGTAATGTCACTGTCACGCCTTACACTGAAAATACTTACATGAATACATCTTCATGTGTTCAGCTTTGAGTGATGAGAAACACAAAGCACTTGAGCAAGATTGCGTGTAAATTATACTCCATAAATAACACATGAGCAATGGTAATTTTTTTTGTAAAAGAAACCTTCTGAAATCTGTTTCAAATATCCAGTTTGTATTTTTGGAGGCATGTTTTCTCCTGATTTCTAAATAGAAAGGGGGGAATAATTGGGGATTGAATATGCAACAGAGGAGAATTCATTTTAAGTAATAGTAACTTGTGAAAGCCTTTTCCCCCTAAACAATTAATACATTGATGGAAAAGTCCATTAATTGATCATGAAAGTGACAGTTGCAGCCAGTGGTGGAAGAAGTATTTAGCATATTTACTTAAGTAAATTCCCCAATGTAAAAATATATGACAAGTAAAAGATATCCAGTAAAACATCAGAACAAGAAGAATAGGAACAAGAAGAAAAACATATTTTTAAGTGGAGGGGGACTTCATTCTAAGCTCAAACCCTACTTATACCTTTATGACACCTACCTTATTATATCAGTAGTATTTTAACTTGATCCCCTGCCTGCATGGACACTGATCACAATTGTTGGACGCCAGATCAAACCACAAAACAGTTGAGACAGTTAGTAAGGACCTTTGTTGTCCTCGTTGAAGTGGTTTATGACATCACATGTGACACCTGCAGGGAACACTACATGAAACCACCAGGACCCTGGACCAGAGACTGAAGGAAACATTAGCTGTCAGCTTCAGCTGTCTGTGAGCCCCAGACCATTAATGTAATTAATTATATTTGTTTGTAAATGTATATATATAGTTTTACAAGTAGCATAAAGCGAACTATAATCTGAATTCCATAATACAATCATTGAATCTTTAAAATTCAACTTCAACTTTAGGGAGATTTGTCTCTCAGCCAGGTAAAGAACACACAGACTAATAACATTTCCTGTTTATTTGTTTTCCCTGCATAATGGTCTGCATGGTGTTTCCAGTAGGGGTGTAAGAAAATAATAAATACAAAGAAAAGTAAACTTTTTGTGGTGCATGTGTCGTGTGTTAAAATTTGATTTAAATGTTTAGAAATATATTGAATTGTAACCTCTGTATCTTGGTACGTATCAAATTGCCATATTCACAGCCCTAGTTTCCAGGCTTTCTCCAAACTGCCAGGACATAATTCTGGTGAAAAAATCACAACTTTTTCCTAGTATTATTTTAAGATTGTAGTCTAAGAAACCCAAAACCCACCATAACCCACCTAACTTATTTGTAATTGTATTTTTTTAAAGTATTCATCAGATCTGTTTTTTGTTTTTTTGTTTTTGTTTTTTCTTCAAATAAAATGACCCCTTGTGCAGACAACAGAAATAGCACATTAAGTTTAAAACTCAGATGGGTGTCTATACTTGACTCAGATTCCTCGTCATCTTCCTTGTTACTTGGCTGATAAAAACAGAAGCTTTATCTTACAACACTACAAATATTAAGAAAACTTACAACAGAACAGATCCAGCAATCACAACATCAACCAGGTGGTGTTAAAACTAACTTCTGTTAAAGTGAACCTCTTTTCCCCCACTGATGAGGAGGTAAAGTCAGGTAAAAATGAATAAATAAAGCCTACATTAGTGAACTAGAAAATCATGTAGTGCCATAACAGTCCACAAGAGAGCAGCATGACAATAACGACACAGCATTGGAAACATTTAAAAATATGCATATCACTTAGGCAGCAGAGAAATGTAAGGATATGAGGAGACTTATATAATCTCTGATTTCTTTTTGGACAGGGAGCCTTTTTATTCAAAATTTTATTAGTAGCTGTAGCAAGTCCTTTGTTTACAATGTAACATTGGATTAAATGTTTTCTGATGAATGGTGTCTTAACCAAAACAACAGTGGGCTGGGCATGTGTACATTCATAACACAAATACACACAACTATTAATACTACTACTGTATAACCCTATATATGACATCTATAAAAGAGTACAGTGGGAAAGCTGGTTGAAGTTGACTGGACCTTGGAAGGGAACCAACCATTTCTATGATGGTGCCTAATAATAGCCATGGGGATAACTGTTACATCTGAAAGGTACATTTTGTTTTAATTATTTTTGTTTTATTGTATGCACATAATGTTAGATCTGAGTGTATATAATCATATACAGAAGGAGTGTTATAGTGGCTATATGTACCAATAGTTTAAATTTAGCATTTTCCTGCTCCAGCTTCCAGGCCAAGGTTGGGGGGCACAGGGGAGACTTTGTACTCACTTGAGGGATCACTCTACTCACTTTACCCAGCAGTTGTAAAGCAAGACAGAAACTTCTTATCTTGAGGGAGTTGCAGCGTTTATTCCCTGCCATACTGTCAACTTTACTGCTGTCGCCAAGTGCTTGCTCATGGTGGTACTGTTGGGTCTCTGTAAATGTTAAAAGGAGTTCGGTCTAGACCTGCTCTATTTGAAAAGTGTCCTGAGATAACTTCTGTTATGAATTGGCGCTATACAAATAAAATTGAATTGA